GCACCCCAGGGGCTGCAGTGTTGGGTGAGACCAGGCAGGACAGATGAGGACAGGGCCACACCGCAGGAGGGCCTTACGGAGACGTGGGGGACAGGGACACAATGGGGTTCTGACCTGCCGTGCGGGCTCCTGCTCGGTGTCCTCGGGCTCCCAGACAAGCGTGAGCTCCGGCTTCCTGCCTACCCTCTGGAAGTGGTGCGACCGCAGGGCCAGAGCCTGGGGGTGCACAGGCCAGTGCCTCAGGCCTCGGGCTCTGGGTGCCGCCTCCCAACCTTTAACCCTGGGAAGCCCTGCTGCTTGGAGGCCCCTGCCCTGGCCCACCTCGGACTGGCCTCGACGGGTCTCCCATCCTGCGGCCCCACAGGTGACTGCTTGAACTAAGATAGGGACTGTCTGACCCAGACCTAGTGCAGGGTAGGGGTAGGCCAGGGCTGTATGTGCTGTGCGGACTTGTGTGTGTGTGTGTCTGCACGCGTATTTGTGTGAGTGTGAGGGCTGCGCCCCCTGCTGGTGCTGGGCTGTCAGCACAGGTTGTGCCTGATTGTTTCCAGCTGGACCGGGCTCTCTCCTGGTCTCGTCCATTCTATCAATACCATGCGTATTGATAAAATACCGTGGGCCAAGCCTATGGCGCACTTGGGAGAGTGTGGCGCTGGGAGCGCAGCAGCGCTTCCGCCGCGGGTTCGGATCCTATATAGGGATGACCGGTGCGCTCACAGCACTCACTGGCTGAGCGCGGTGCGGCCGGATCTCAAAAAGGACAAAAAAAAAAAAATACCGTGTGCTGGGCTCTGGGCCCTCCAAGCACTTTGGATAAGAGGAAAATTCAGAGCCAGGGCAGGGGCCAGGTGGTGACCTGCTGACTACAGGACTGGCTGGAGCCAGGCCCCTCAGCTGGCATTCGGACAGACACTAAGACAGACAGAAACTTGAATAAATAGTTGCCCAGGTAGGAGTCAAGTCAGGGACAGCTCTCTTCTTTCTCTTCAGGGGACACGGCTTCCAGAGTGGCACGGACCATTCTCTGGCCTTTCCTTCCTTCATGTGTCTGTAAAGACAGCCCCTGACATGGCACCCCCTGCACACCAAACCCTGCACTGCTTGTGGAGGGGCCTGCTCTCTGGCTGCCAGGGTCCTTGGGGAAGGGTCCAGGCCTTTGTCCTGGAACCCCCATTGCAAAAGGTATAGCTGGGTGTCTTGGCAGGGCCCATAGGGTGGGCTTTCTGTTTGGGAGGGGGAGGGAGCAGGGTTGAATAATGCTCAGTACCCTTGGCCACCACATCCTAGTGTGGCCCCCAGCTGAGCAAGGGGAGCAGTATGACCCATCACAGCTTCTATCTCCCCAGTGTGGATGGGGACAGTAGGGACCTCAGTCTGTGCTCCTGCTCTCTCACATTCCATGCTTGTGTTCAAGCAAGGGCTGTCCTGGGCCACGGACATAGGAATGGGTCCGTTCAGAGGGAGCAAGACAGCCAGGTGGAAAAGGCAGTCGCCACAGGGTTTGCTGAGAGCCATGAGGGCACAGGTGCAGCACCAAGGACGTGTGAGAGGGGCTGCTGTGCCCACTGGTGCCAGCTGCCCACTCCTTCTCTGCACACTTACGTTGCAGTAGATGCGCTTCTGCACCCCGTAGCGCAGCACCAACACATCAAAGGCTTGGTTCAGGACGCCCATCACCATGGCTTCTGACTCCAGTGGGCCACTCTCCTGCAGGGACAGTGCTCCAGCCTCGGGATCCTCCCAGGGTCTGCCCAGGGATCCTCGAGGGCTTGTGGTGAGCTTGTGCCCAGGAAAGCGGGACAGAGGGTGGGCAGGGGAGCCAAGCTGCTGGGCTCACCTTGACCAGAACAGCAAAGAAGAGGCCTGTGCTGAGCTCCTGCACACGCTTGGACGCCATGCGGCGGTCGTTGCAGTGGTCGGCCTGCTTCTGCAAGGTGTCGGGCTCTAAAGCTGGCAGCTCCCCATAGCCTGGGAAGAGGGTGGGCAGGGGCGTGGTGGGGTGCTGGGCAGCATGGCACCCTGGCCCAGGTAGGAGCTAAGGCCTCCCAGCCCCAAGAGCTGAGGCAGATCAGGCAGGCCCTTGAGCCCGGTCATGACCAGGGCTGTCATAAGCCTGTTGTGGCATCCCCAGCACCCGCACACAGAGGGACTTTCCAGACCCAGGCTCCCATGTGCTCAGTTGCGCCGTTGCTCAGACTCCAGGGTGATGGCAGTGTGTCCTCTGGGCACTGGGCCTCCAGCCCGGGGGTGGGTAGCCCTGAGCTGGCGCAGGCCTGTCCTTACCCAGCGTGGCAGCCAGGAGGCGGTGCACCAGGACATCGGCGAAGCGGCGGATGGGCGAGGTGAAGTGCGTGTAGAGCGGCACGTTGAGGGCGTAGTGCTGGAACTGCACCTGGTCCTGCAGCACCCCTGAGCAGAAGTACAGCGCCATCTGCGTGGGGGGACAGGGTCTCAGAGCCTCGCCAGGCAGCCAGGCCTGGTGGCGCTGGGAATCCAAGGCCTCGCCATGGCAGTCTCAGCATGGACAGAGCTGACAAGCCGCAGGCAGCTGAGCAAAGCCAGGCAGGGGCCCTTCTACAGAACGGGACCCAGGGGCTGCCCCCGGGCTGGGGAGAGCCAGGAGTGCCCACGCCCTTCTCTCTGTGAAGACACATGCTGGCCATGCTCCAGGGCTGTCCAGACCCCCTCGTGGTGGCAGCAGGCCGACAGCCCCACCTCTGCTGAGGACAGGGGTGCAGGGAAGCCTCAGGATGCTGGGCAGCCTCCTCCCCTGAGTCCTGCTGGCCTGGCCGCCAGGCTCCCGGGAGGGGTGGACCTGGTGCTGATGTGTCAGGGTGCTGGGCAGGAGGTCATCATCCCCAGGGCCCCACTGCTGCCTGGGAGCAGTGAGCACCTCGTGGCCCGAGGGCCACGGTCACCCCGTGTGCGCGCACTGGCCCCTCTGCTCGCCCGAGGCTTGCTCACACTCACACCTCCTGTGCGCTTGGCCAGACGGACAGCAGCTCCAGTTACTCTGCGCACATCGGCGGCTGGCATCCAGGGTGCAGCTGGGGTGACCCACTCGGCTCCCTAACTCTGCTTCCCTTCCAGTCTCTGCTGGGCACGTTGAGGGCGTAGTGCTGGAACTGCACCTGGTCCTGCAGCACCCCTGAGCAGAAGTACAGCGCCATCTGCGTGGGGGGACAGGATCTCAGAGCCTCACCAGGCCCGGCCCCTTCCCCAGCCAGGCATGGTGGTGCTGGGAGTCCAGGGCCTCCCCATGGCAGTCTCAGCATGGACAGAGCTGACAAGCCGCAGGCAGCTGAGCAAAGCCAGGCAGGGGCCCTTCTACAGAACGGGACCCAGGGGCTGCCCCCAGGCTGGGGAGAGCCAGGAGTGCCCACGCCCCTCTCTCGCTGAAGACACACGCTGGCCTTGCTCCAGGGCTGTCCAGACCCCCTTGTGGTGGCAGCAGGCCAACAGCCCCACCTCTGCTGAGGACAGGGGTGCAGGGAAGCCTCAGGATGCTGGGCAGCCTCCTCCCCTGAGTCCTGCTGGCCTGGCCGCCAGGCTCCCGGGAGGGGTGGACCTGGTGCTGATGTCTCAGGGTGCTGGGCAGGAGGTCATCATCCCCAGGGCCCCACTGCTGCCTGGGAGCAGTGAGCACCTCGTGGCCCGAGGGCCACGGTCACCCTGTGTGCGCGCACTGGCCCCTCTGCTCGCCCGAGGCTTGCTCACACTCACACCTCCTGTGCGCTTGGCCAGACGGACAGCAGCTCCAGTTACTCTGCGCACATCGGCGGCTGGCATCCAGGGTGCAGCTGGGGTGACCCACTCGGCTCCCTAACTCTGCTTCCCTTCCAGTCTCTGCTGGGCTCTGGGTCAAGTGACCAGAGGAGGTGGGCGCAGCCTCCACTGCCAGCTGTGTTAGGACTTTGTGCTCAGTGGTGGCCCAGTTCCCCAGAGGCGCTCGGGTGAGGAGGACAAGGGGCTTGGTTCTGTCCTGGCTGGGGGAGGTGTCGCTGGGTAGGGTGGGATGGGTGGGAACCATGGCTTTGCCACACTGACCAGCCATCCCTCGACAACCCTGGTGCTGTTTCAGTAGCACACTTGGAACCAAGGTGCCTTTCACCCTTTTGTGCTCTGTGATCCTGGTGCCCCTACTGTGTCCCCTGTCTTCTATCCCCACCCCTGGTCACAGGGCTGTGAGGACAGGAGCACAGATACTCTAATAACTCCGTGCCATCAGAACCCAGGCCAAAGTGGTCTCCGAGGTCACTGGCAGCCAGGCCAGGAGAAGTCTAGTGTTTACAGGCTCTGGATGACTCAGGAGAGGGCTCCTTTGTGGGAGCTCTAGGGCTGGTTTGACCTTGGAGGTGATGGCTTCCAGAGGCTGGGGGCAGGGGAAGGGGCCTGTAGGACATGGATAGGAGGCAATGTGGGGACCCAGGGCCTGCTGTTGTCTTCATTACTGTGCCTGCCAGGAGCAGCTGGGGAACAGGTAGGTGGAGCTGGCAGCCACAGCACAGCCTCTCTCTGCTGTGGGTGCTGCAGGTGCTGGTGTGGGGCAGACACTTGTGTTGGGGGCAGGGTGGGGGAAGCCAGGCCCAAACAGATCCTGATGGCTCATTCCCAGCATTGCTCTGAGGTATCATAAACATATCAGCTGTGGCCAGCTGAGGCCATCTGGTTCTTGAGAACAAATTGAGTCTCCCGAGTGACTGAGCCCCTGAAAAATGTTCTCTCACAGCCCCTGGGCTGTGCTGGGGCCCACACGTAGCCCCAGTGGCATTTGTAGTTTCTGCTGACCTGTCAGTCCATTAGATGGCTCCCGATCCCAGGAGCTGGGACACTGTGAGGCTGGACTCAGCCTAGAGGGCTGCACTGATTACCCTCCCAAGCTGACAAGAAGTTCCACAGGCTGGGGTGGAGACTGAGAGATGACCCTGGGCAGGCTGCCATGAAGAAGCCTCTCTCCTCTCTGGCAACTCTAGCCAACCATGAGGTCTGACCAGCCCTGGGCTCAAAGCTAGCTGTGTTTGAGCAAGTCTGATCAGTACACAGCAGATCAGGCTCTTCCTGGAGCTAGGGGCCCCCCTATCCTAGGTGCTGCCAGGGGGGCTCCATATCAAAGCTGGCTGTGTTTGAGCAAGTCTGATCAGTACACAGAAGATCAGGCTCTTCCTGGAGCTAGGGGCCCCCCTATCCTAGGTGCTGCCAGGGGGGCTCCATCCCCTCCCCAAGAAAACTGTTCCTCTGCCTTGCCAGATGAGCATAGCGCCTCCTCTCCCAGCCAGGCCCCAGAGCAGAGCAGGAATGGAGATGACCTGTGCGTGTGCATGGAAGTCACAGGTCACGGGTGCTCCTGGGAGCAGGCAGCACAAAGGCAAGGCCCCTCCTTACCTGCATGGACCGGGAGCACATGTTGGTGAGCACCTCCTTCCGGGCCAGTGAGTACCTGTCATCTCCAAATGTTTTGGTCAGACTTTCCTAGAAGCAAACCCCAGAAACCTGTGTAATGTGTGGTCAGGCTGGAGGAGAAGCTCTGGGCCTCTGCTACCTCATAACCATCTGAGACCTGCCTCTGGGGAAGGGTCAGCTGTGGCAACTGCCCTGCTCAGATGGCTGTGGGTGGGTGCAGGAGGAGCCAGGGCCCAGAGTCTGTGGCCTGTGCTGGTCTGAGCTCAGTCCCTTCCATGTCCAGCTGGCCTGTACCACCTGCTGTCCAGCTTTCTGGCCTAAGGCACCGCTCTGCTCTCCCCACCCTACTTAGGCTCAGACTGTGGGTGAGAAGAGCCTCCCTCCTGTAGGATCAGAGCCCAGGCCCCGGGTTCTTTAGCCCCATGAGGTTTAGCTTGTGGCCAGGAGCCTTGAAACCATAAAACACTTTCCCTGACTGCCAATCACCCCAGCCCCATACTGAAAGCCTCTGGGCCCAAGACCAGCCCCTTCTGTCCACAGGAGCCCTGCCCACAGCTCAAGTGGCCTCCCTTGGCCCCATCCTGGTGAGGGAGCTCACTCCACTGTTGGGGCATCTGGAGTCTGGGGTCTGTTCCCTAGGTCTTCCCTTCTCTCCTGCAAAGGATGCTGGCTGAAGAGAATGGGACCCTGCTTGGAAGTTGAGACCACTATGCCCCAGCTTCCAGGTCTTCCCCTTTTTCCCCCAAGCAGGGCCTCCCCTTCCTCTGCCTGCCCACTCCGCCACTTACATTGAGGGCCCCTGCAGAGCTGACATCCATGGGCAACCCCATCTGGTTGCAGAATTCCACTAGGTCCTGGAGCATCTTTGCCTGAGGTGGGGGGTGCCGGCGCAGAAGGGCCCGCTCAGGGAAGGTGCGGTAGATTTTGTGAGCCACCGCCATGTTGGCCAGCAGCATGAATTCCTCCACGAGCCTGCAGAAGAAGGGCCAGGGACTGCAGGGACCGCTGTAGGCAGGGCACATCGATATCCAGGCTCTCCCAGGCTCTCATGTGTCTGGCCCCTTCAGGTCTCAGTTGAGAGGTGAGCTCCAGGCCACCCACCAAATTTATTCCTCCAAGTTGCTGTCTCTCTGATCCCATGCTCCCACCCTCCCCTGCACCAAAGGCTCTACATGGCCACTCTCTCCCAATGTGTCAGCTGTGCGCTGTCTCCTCCAGTTGACAGGGCCTCCTGGACAGCTAGACAGTGTTTGTCTTACTCCCCACCACAGCCCCACAGCTCAGCCTCCCACTTAGCCCAGAGAAGGGGCTCAATAAAGATCTCTGTGTAGTGATGTGACTCCTAGAGCCCTTTTGGACAGCACAGCTGCAAGAAGCCCTGAGCCCCCACACGCTGCGGGAAGCCAGAGGACCCAGCCCAACCTGTGCTCACAGGGCTCCTGGGGTGTGGAGCAGGGTGAGGAGACTGAGGGCTTTCCAAGCCCAGCAGTGCTGAGCTCCCTCCTCCTCTGGGGACTGTCCTGTATAGAACAGACCAAACCTCGGGGTTTATGGGATCAAACAGGAGAGTCAGAGAAAGCAAGAGGGAAACACTTACCTGGAGACAGGCAGGGTAAGGAGACTGAGGGCTTTCCAAGCCCAGCAGTGCTGAGCTCCCTCCTCCTCTGGGGACTGTCCTGTATAGAACAGACCAAACCTCAGGGTTTATGGGATCAAACAGGAGAGTCAGAGAAAGCAAGAGGGAAACACTTACCTGGAGACAAGGCAGAATTGCTATTGGGGCATCTACAACCTGGAAAGTCAACCTTTAGGAGTTATATATGCTCTGGTTTGTTTCGCTGAGTATAATTAGAACTAACAATACCACAAATGGATATAGCTCCACATGAAAACACAAAAGTCTGCCTAGTACAAAGGGTGATGGTGCAGGGACTGCTGGGTAATGGAGAAAGTGTGCCCAGACTCAGGAGCCATGCCAAGTGGGAGCTGGCAGCACACAGCCCTGATGGGGGCACCACCCCAGCCTGGGGCAGGAGTCCATGCACTGCTTTCCCCACCTGGGGCAAGTGGGTCACACATGTGCATAAGAGCTGATGCCTCTGGGAAGGGGGCTTGGGTGCATCCTGGTGGCATCATGGCCAGGATGCACTGTGAAGGAAAGCCTGCTCCCTTGGAAAGGCAGAGCTATAGGTGCCTTGCCAAGCTTAGGGGAAACTCTTGCCTCTTTGCTTTTCCCCAGGCTGCAGGTCAAGTCTAGACTTCTCCCACAGAGGCAGGGGAGGTCAGAGAGAACGCTCTGGCAGAGCTGGCAGCAGCCAGAGGCCTGAAATGAACTTCCCCTTCCTGGAGGGGGTGGCACTGCAGGATGAGCCTCGTCATCTGGCTGAGCTCTTGGAAAGAAAAGTAGCCATAGGGAGGGAGAGAGAACCCAAGTGTGCAGAGATGGGGCTTGCCACAGCGCCAGGTTGACCCTGCTCTGCCAAGCTGTCCTGCGAGCACACCTGTCTCCCCAAGGGCCTGTCTCTATAGAGAAGCTGGGCTGAACAATGCCCCAGCAGGGCAAGTACCACCCAGTGGGGCCAGAGGAAAGCCTGGGCCTGGAAAGGAAGCAACGCCAGCCCTGCACTCCTGGAGCCTCCTTTGTGGGGACT